TTATATATATTATATATTTATATATATATTTATCACCAAATTGTATCACATAAATTAGTACATTTCATAATCTTATAATAATTAATAATAAGATTATCACAGTACATTTCTTAACTTCCCAGCAAACACAGTATATAAATGTTATATACTTAAGCATGTTACATGTAACGTATATGTTAGTTGTAATTTCCCACTCATAGATGTAACATTTTTAATATTACATATATCACATTGTAGTTATATTGTCATTATATCCCAAGATAGCACTGACTTATCAATACATCAATGTGCTATTTGGTATAAATTACAATATAACTACAATGTAATATATGTTATATTAAAATGTTACATCTATGAGTGGGAAATTACAACTAACATGGATGTTACATGTAACGTGCACGTTATATTATCTGTATATTCCGTTTTATTATAGATATGTAACAATTATATATCGGTGTTTGCTGGGTTTATAATAAAGATTTTTAAACACTACTTTTTTATTAACGTATTGTTTTATATCAATTCTCATAACACGTCGCGTCAATTTTATTCAAGCATGTTCAAAAATGTATCCGGCCCCGACCGAAATCCGAATGTTTATTCATAAAATTTAACATAATTTCTTTTTGTTTCTCTGTAACATTCATTCTTATTCACACCGTTCAAACTGCAGAGGTTATAAAGATAAGGTATCACTGAAACATATATGCATGCATATACGCTTTACGGAATGTTCACTATGGTTTGTGCTCCCGTGAATCTAGGGATATCGTATTTTCATCTTGCTCATAGCCAATCGCGTGTATTTCTTCACGTGAAATGAATGTGCGAAAAGTGAGAAAATCGACACAAATAGACAATCCCCAGAAGCACGGTTTCTCGATATCCCGCGAGTCGCACGAGCTGGGGTACTTTGCTATAGTTTACGTCACGTATACTGTACTGAAATGCTATAAATAGTATATATAGATTTTGACCAATAGAAGCGTAGACAACCTAGTGAATCTCTCACTTTTGTGATTTTACCTCGTGAGCAAACTTACCCAAAGAACCGTAATAAGTACCCAGGCGTCGATTGTGTAACTTTTTCTAAAGTAAAATTTTTCATTTTTCACATTTTCACTTTAAAAAAAATTACACAATTGACCCCTAGGGTACCTATTACGGTTATTTGGGTGAGTTTGCTCACGAGATGAAAATCACAAAAGTGAGAGATTCACTAGATTTTGACCAATAGAAGCGTAGACAACCTAGTGAATCTCTCACTTTTGTGATTTTCACCTCGTGAGCAAACTCACCCAAAGAACTGTAATAAGTACCCAGGAGGTCGATTGTGTATCTTGGGTGAGTTTGCTTACGAGATGAAAATTACAAAAGTGAAAAGATTTACTAGATATCGACAAATGAAACCGTGGGTACTCTAATAAATTTCCTCACTTTTGTAATTTTTACCTCGTGAGCAACTCACCCAAGATACACAATCTACCCTCTGATCGATTCTGTAACTTTTTCTAAAGTGAAAACGTGAAAAGTGAAAAATTTGGCGGAAATGTTTCACTTTTTACATTTTCACTTTAGAAAAGTTACAGAATCCATACCCAGGAGACCGAATTTCTTAGAATTTCAGTGGTGGGGGTAAGTCAAAATACGGTGTGTGTCACGTCCGGACGATGGTTGTAACATCCCGTCATTTTTTCGAAACCGTATTTTTGTGCGCTATAAATCCTTCTGAATAATTACTTAAGAAATGCAATTGTGATTCTCAATATTACTATTATTCATTATTCATAATTATTGGGACGATTTTACTAACCGTGTTAACATATAGGGTCTTCCTAGTTCTAACTAAGCGGCTCAGCCAATCGGACAGCGTCACTAGACCACACCGAAGCGCATACTTTCAACCATACGACTAACTGAACCGCATATAGATGCGACACTAACATGTTCGAAATTAAGAAACAATAGAACTTATGGAATTATAACATAATAATATAAAATAATTATAATATTTCAAATACTTGAATGATTGATAAGATGCTTCAACCACCTTTAAAAAAGGGGCTTCTAGCCTTGATAAAGTTATTATGAAGATTCCATAAATCTCTAGCTATGCCTAATATGAGAAACGCCATTTTATCGGGCGTTAACTTGTCAATTATATTCACGAAACTGTACCTTCTAAATTATTGAATAATTTCAAGAATTTAAGATTTTAAGATCTAATCTATAATAAATAAATTACAGTAAGGTTTACGTAAATATAACTATATAAGAGAAAGAGCATATATTGTATCATGTAATCGAAATATATAATCCGAACTCTCGCCGCTACATCGTGGAAATGTAATCGTATAATTTAGAAATTCTCAGCGCCCCGCTTATATATTAGCGACAATTTTCTACCTTGTAATTTATTCCTCAATTTTAAGTAATATAAAATAAATTATATGAATTGTATGATTCCACGTTCGTAAGAAATAAGCACATCTATGCGCGAACTCTCTGAAATACGCTCTTTAAAATAATCATGTTGATTGAATTTATATCCGTTAGTTTTAAGGCGACCTAATTCTCAGCTCTTTGTCGGCCGAAAACCCTCGCTACTGTTCGACACTTCTTGAAATCTGTATCTTGGCCGAATCGTTATCCACCCTCTCCCCATACCGTATCGCCTCGATATCCTACGCGCCGAAGCCCATATGCATGTCATAAATTCTGCCTCTATTTGGAACTCTTGCTCTCCTAGACATTCCATTGGCTCTCCTCCTTTTTTTTCCACACATATCACTTGCACCGATGATCTCGAGATACAGTTTATGAAGGAACCCCCACCAAAGGGCGCAAAGTACAAAGACTTTTTCCGATTTTGAT